CTCCAAGATGAACATGAGTCGGCAGTGTGACGAAGCCATCAGAAAAGCCAATGGCACTTTATCGTGCATCAGCAGATGCATGACGAATAGGTCCAAGGAGGTGATACTTCCCCTCTATCGGGTGCTGGTCAGACCGCAGTTGGAGTACTGCGTGCAATTCTGGGCGCCACAATTCAAGAGGGATGCGGATAACCTGGAGAGGGTCCAGAGAAGGGCCACTCGTATGGTTAAGGGCCTGCAGACCAAGCCCTACGACGAGAGACTAGAGAAACTGGACCTTTTCAGCCTCCGCAAGAGAAGGTTGAGAGGTGACCTTGTGGCGGTCTATAAGTTCATCACGGGGGCACAGAAGGGAATTGGTGAGTATTTATTCACCAAGGCACCCCTGGGGGTTACAAGAAATAATGGCCACAAGCTAGCAGAGAGCAGATTTAGATTGGACATTAGGAGGAACTTCTTCACAGTTCAAGTGGCCAAGGTCTGGAACGGGCTCCCAAGGGAGGTGGCACTCTCCCCTACCCTGGGGGTCTTCAAGAGGAGGTTAGATAACCATCTAGCTGGGGTCATCTAGACCCAGCAATCTTTCCTGCCTATGCAGGGGGTCGGACTCAATGATCTATTGAGGTGCCTTCCGACCCTAACATCTATGAATCTTTGAATCTATGAAAAGTTTTGGATGAGGATACTCAGCTATGGGTGCATCGGCACCTTCCCCGAACAGTCACTGAAGCCTTAAGGATAGCAGAGTCCTTCGCTGCCTCTGAGGGGGAGTCGCTCAGAGAGAACTATAGAAGTATGGGGCCTAAGGAAGAGGACGAGCACCAGTGGGGGCCCGTGCGCCATGTGAGGCGAGGCATCGTTTGCTATTGGTGTGGCAAGACGGGACACGTTTCCCGAGAACGTACCCTAGGGGCCACAGAGAGGTGGAAGCCCGCGGGGGAGGTCACAGAGCTGAAGGGACGACACAACGTCCATAAGCCCATTGAGGAAATGGACTGCAGTTCTGGACACAGAGAGGAAGCAGAGGGGTGGGACCGTCCCATGGTAACAGCGTGGATGGCGGGCCAGCCACTCCTGGCCACCCTGGACACCAGTTGTTCTCAGACACTAATATGGGCAGGGACGATCCCTGAGAGTGTTATAGAATGGTGCCCTCTGGTCAGGATTCGATGTATACATGGCAAGATGGAACAATACGAAAGGGGCTTCGTGGATGTGAGGATCGCCGGTCGCAAGGGTAAACTGCACATCAGACTGGCCCCACAATTAGATGGGCAGATGATCATCAGGAGGGATTGGCCACCTCTCTACGAGGTATTAGAGAAAGTACGTGCAGAGGAGATAAAGCGTAAAAGACAGCCCCACAGAGAAGGCTGGATAGTGGAGGAAGACTCAGCATCATCTGGCGAGAATGGGTGGGTTAGCTTTGGGACGGAAGCTGAGGGCGGATACTTTCAAACTGCCCAAGAAGAAGATGATGAGCTCTGCAAGATCCGGGAGACGGAGGTTGCTTGGGTAGAGGAAGAAACCATGCGACCTAGAATGGACTTAAGTGAAGCATATTTTTGGATACATAGGGGTCTGTTATACTGAGTAAAAAAGTGCCCAGTCCAAGAAGAGTGGACCCAGCAGCTAGTAGTCCCTAGAAGGCTTTGCAAGAGGGTGTGTAGGTTGGTGCATGCTAGCCCAATGGGCGCCTACCTTGGGGCAGACAAGACGGCATCCCTGATAGGGCAGTGGATTTTCTGGCTGGGGATGAGGGAGGACATCACATGGCATTGCAAGGCCTGTCCAGAATGTCAAAGGGTCCAAGGGAGACAGCCCCCATGGGCGCCACTACAACCAACGCAACTCATCAAGGTCCCCTTTGACAGAATAGTGCTAGATATAGTAGGATCCCTGACAAAGAGTAGCGCCGGGCACCAGTATGTATTGGTGATCGTTGACTATGCTACACGCTACCCCAGATGCAATACCATTGAGATCGTCAATGGCCCTGCAAATTGCAGAAGAGTTGTTGAAATGGGTGTCCTGGGTGGGAGTACCGAGAGAAATAATTACAGATCAGGGGACGAATTTTAAGTCTGGGGCCATCCAGGCTATGTGTCAACTGTTGAGGATATGGCAACTCCACACCTTGGTGGACCACCCACAAACTAATGGGATGGTAGAATGCCTGAATGGCACAATTAAATGCCCATTGCACTGATGTGCCCAGGATGAGCCGAGGAGGTGGGACTTGATCCTGATACCTCTCCTCTTTGTGCTGAGAGACGCCCTGCAGGTGTCCCTGAGGCTGTCTCCATTTGAATTGGAATCAGAAGGACAAACATTGTCCTTCCGATTGGAAACTCCTTATCATCAAAGACGTGGCAGGTGAGACCCACGGGGATCTGACCTGAGGCCACTCCCAATAGTCTGGCTGTACAGCCCAAGGAGCCACAGCGAGGTTCTTAAAGAACCCAAATATACGACACTAGGGAGAAAGACACGGGAAGTTACAGATAATTTCAGTGCTCCAGTTTCAGATTTGTTTTCAGGTTATGAATCTCAGTCAAATAAATACCTAGCTCTTGGCTGTAGATGGTCACCTACATCCAGAAGAGAAGGATTTAATGCACAACCCTTTTATCAGCATTTCTTGTCGGATGACTTGGGTATCCCCCACTCAAGGTGTAATAGCTAGTGTGAATCCCATTATGAGACATCTAAATTCTCAGTACAGTGCACTGGAAAATTAAGATGGCTCACTTAGGTTTGTGAATTCTACTCCTAGAGCCATGAGTCCTTTTTTCACCTGGTCTCTGTTGTGATGGAGCTAAGTGAGGTGGCACTCCCACAGTGAAACTATGCTCTGTGTAATGCTACCTTACTTCTGGCATTTTCTAGAAAAACCTCACTGGTCGCATCAACACAAGACACTAAAAGCACAGTAGACCAATTCTACTATGCATTAGTGCATCATGGTGAAAGCCATACAAATGTGCTAATATGCAGTAGAATTAGTCTACTGTGCATCAGCATCACATAAAAGATGTGCACCAGTGCTACTGAGCAGTAGCACCAATTACATCGCATTAAGTTAGTACTTATTAGTACAGGTACTATAATTAATGTACCATAATTACAGCACATTCATACATGTATAGACATCCCCACTAACTTACATTATGGCTTTCTGCCTTTTCAATGGATGAATGGGCTCTATGTTGTATTATATCATTCCAGTACCTAATTGAATGATACCATTTATTGTTCTTTAATGAATGAATAAAGTTTTGGCCAGGGACTAAAAGTAATATATTGAACTGAAGGGGAAAAAAAAGTGAAAACAAAGAAAAACAACATACAAAAAGAAAAACATGATACAAACAGATCCACGCATAAGCAGTTTATTAGCATCATTTCTGAAAAATTAAAATACAACTGCTTAATTCATGTTTATGGTATACATGTTTGTATACTGCTGTACACTACATAATGCAGTACATCTGTAAATAAATAACAGAGACAGTTTGGATTAAACCAGGGCTGTCCAACTAGCGGCTTGCGAAGGATTATTCTGTCGTTCCTGGGCTCCTCCTGGCTGCTGTTCCCCTCACTGTTCTGGCTGCTGCTGTAGCTGGGATCTCCAGGCTCCCTTTACCTTCTCTGGTTTTCAGTTCCTGCCCCTTCCCCAGGAAGTGAGACAGAGCAGGGCTGCAAGGCTCAGTGCAGCCTGAAGTCTCAGGGGAGCCTATGGCACAGTGCAGCAGGGGAGCCCTGAGTCAAGCAGTTACTGGGGTGGAGCAGCCCAACTATGTGGTGGTAGGAAAGCCAGGCAGGTGAGGGTGGTCATAGTCCATACTGGTATGGGCCCTGCAGCATATAGGCCCCAGCTACTAAGAAGCCCTGGATTAAACTAGCAAGATCAATGCTAACTATTCAGGGAAGAATGAAAACAGAAGCAGTATAATGTGTAAATGACAAATGTTTACTGCTCATTTCTCCGTGTGTTAGTTTGACTAACTGCTTTTGGAGCTACTAGCATTTGGGATTAGCATACATGTATGGGATGCCAAATCTGGCCCTATGGTTGCATAGTATATTCACAATCTTACATTTACTTCTTACCTTTCAGGGCCTGATCCTGCAGTCCTTACTCAGCAGACCCCACAAAGAATTCACTAAAAGTTAGGTTCCTATTTACTAAACTACAAAAAATTATTCCTTTTCTTCTCTATCCCCAGCAGATTATTGGAAGAATTACCACCACTTAGATTGATAATCAAATATATTCATAACAGCAAAACCTAAGAGGTTGCCTGTATTCTATGTAAGCCCTAATTAGGTAAATGTTCTATATGGAGTATATGATAAATCTCATTAAGATTTTACATGAGGCATTAAGAGAAGACAACCTGAAGAGAAACTATTTTACATACATACATCATGCAATATCCTTGTTAAGAGACACTGTTTTTCTCACTTGTGCTAGAGTTAGGCTCCTTTTGATTTTACAACTTTTAAAACAGTATCCCATTTACTGTTCCTGTTTTCTAACTGCTGTTTCCTAAAATTTTGTTGAAATAAATCATTACTGTCTTCATCCTCAGCTTCTGATACTATTTCCATTTTTTGTAGGATCAACTTAATAAGGTCATGCTGCCTTTCCAAGAGTGTTGATATATCTTTAAGCCTAAAAAAAGAAGGAAAGAAAATATGTACACACACATTTCTGATAGTTCAGGATATTTCACAGAGTCATAAATATTAGAGATGCAAAAGATCTATTAAGTAATTGCGCTCAGTCCCCAGCCAACAAGGAATGTTCTTTAGAATACATATTAAATATCTCAAGCCATGGTTCGTTCCCATTTCAGAAAAGATGAGGGAGAAAATGAATAGCATAGCATGTGGCTTGAGAAAAGACATATAGGATACTACAGATGTTTGGGGACATTAGAGGAACGTTAGATCTTGTTAAAAATGGACGCCCAATCTAACTTAGTTTGTCCATGTGCAGACCTTCCACATAGATCCCTAGTTAGGTCGATCTAAATGCAAACTGTAGATAAGTTCCAGGAAAGTTAGATCAGTCAAAAATGGCCAATGTGATCTAATTTAACTGTACCTTGGAGGTGCGCTAAGTTAGATTGGGTACAGCTAGACCAATCTAACTGAACTTTTATACATGCCCTGAGCGCAGCTCCAGGGCAGGAACAGCCCAGCTGCTGGCCCCAGCCTTGAGGCTGTGCTTTTCCTATGACCTCCAGCACCAGGGTATTTTTAGCCCCCCAGCCCCTCCTCCCCCACCCAAACAGGCAAACATCCCTCCACACAGGTCAGACAGCCCTGCTCCCTCCTTCCCTCCAAGCCCACCAAACCCTCTGATCCCACAAGTTGCTCCTGGTGCCAGTTTGACCAGTGTTCACTGGTGCCAGGAGCTGACCAAAGTCAGTCAGGGTGGTGGGGTGGGTGGGGGAGACTGGGGTGGCAGGATTGGTTCTCCAGGGGTGTTGTTCATCTGGGGGTGGGAGGGGATGGGGGGCACATTTTTAACCTGAATTAACCCCCCAAACTTCTTGCTGTAGTGTCCATATAAAGCCATGCCATACATTTCAATGTAAGAATAGTGATCAGCCCTATCCTGAAATAGAATTACAACTATTTTTCACTCACCCAAGTAGTCCCACCAAGATAAAAAATTGTAAAGCTATTTATGTATCCAGAGACATATAGGGCATGTCATAAGTCCTCTGCCAAGAGCTAAGCCCTAGCCCACAGACTCTGTCCCTGGAACTGAGGTGGTGAGGGTACTCTGGGTGTTCAGAGCCAAACAGGTACTCTGGGTGTTCAGATGTAACCAAAAATGCCTAGTGGGATTTTTAAGAGTGCCTAGTAACCCAAATCCCACTAGACACCTAAATAACAATCCATATTTGGCCTAAAGGGACTACCAACAGTAATATCAATTAGTATCATGCCTACATAATGCAATTTGTTGTGTGCATTACCATTGGCAATCTTTTTAGAAACCCATTAGCAAAATGGGGTCCATTTCCAGAAAGCAACCCCACAACCTGCTGAAGGTTCTCAAAATATACCTTTGAGATTGTTTATACCAGAGGGAACACTAACTTGATCTCCATGCAGAATCCTCTCTCTCAATAGTTGGACTAGTTTTCATGATGGTTTTTTTTAACTTAATAAATAATATCACATATACTGCAAGCAAATTAGTCTTTTAGAAGGGGTGAAAAGCTAGAGAAATACCCTACCAACTTCATTTAGAGCCAGCCTTTGAAGGGGGCAAAATCATCCAGTTTTTACAACTGTCTAATTTTAGGATCAGATCTTTGCAGTATTCCTGATTCCAGCTCTGCGGGCAAAATCCCACTTTACTACATAAAAGACTCAATGCATTCCTGTAGACCAATGGTGTCCAACCTTTTTGAATGTGGGGCTGGATCATGAACTTTTTATCACCCAGTGGGCTGGCGAGCCATATTCATATTTTATCACCCCACGGGCCGTATGTTGGACAAGCCTGAAATAAGGCAAAGCTGGCATAAACCCCCACCTGTGCTCAGCTAGTGACAAACTACAGCAAATGATGTCTTGGACCAGCCATCCCAACAGCTGGAGCCCCCCTTCTGCCTACTACGACCACCATTTGAAGGCAGCCCCAGAAGACATTTGACAGCTGTGTTAAAATATGTGACCAAACCAATGTAGCCAGAGCTCTCATGCAGGCCAAGGGGCCATCTATGTCACTGCTTCCCCAGGTCTTGCCCACACCAGCAACACTGCTGCCCAAAGTCTTGGCAGCGCTCGGGCAGATGTGGCTGGGGCCCAGCCAATGCGTGAGACAGGGGACGGCAGAACTGCAGGAGCAAAGCTGGTTCCCAGCTTAGCAGGGTCTCAGGCCTGGTCTGCCCAGGGCAGCTCCTGGTGGGGGAAGGCCACGGGGGAACATGGGCCACTCTGCTCCTCCGCGGTTCCCTGAGGTGAAGGCAAACAGCCCCCAGGAGAGCGCAGGCAGCTGCCACAGCAGGAAAGCAGCACCCAGCCCAGCTGCAGAGAGTGACAATCCCCCCTCCCCACCCGGGGCCGCTCCCGAGCAGTGCAGCCCCATGAGCCAGTGCTGCCTGAGCGGGGCCAGAGTGAGGTGGCTGCTGCACTGCAGCCCCTCGTCTGCCCACCCATACAGCCCTGCTCACCATGGTGCCCGGTCGCCCGCACATGCAGCCCCGGTGGCCTCAGCACTGCAAGCCCAGAGTGCGGGACCAGGTGGACACCAGCACCTGCCACCTCGCTTTGTAGAGGTCACACCAGGACCCTGCCTGCCGAGGACCCCCCCACCCCCCGGGCTGCCCTGCTGACTGCCTGCAGTGGGCACCACGCCCTGTTCCTGCCCTGCCCCGCAGCTGCTGAGCCCGGCGGGTCCCAGGAGGCGGGCAGGACGCTGGGGGCAAGGGGCTGAGCTGGAGACAAGTAAAAGCGGGTGCTGTCCTCAGCTCATCCTGTCAGGTGCGGCTGGGGCAGCCCCACATCGCGCAGCCCTTGGGGCAGCAGCAGGACCTAGCTCACGTGACGTGGGAGGTCACGCAAGCCCGGCCCCACGGGGGTGAGGAGCTCCCCTCCCCCACCCATCTGTCCTGAGTGAGGGACCTTGGGCCTCAGAAAATGGCTTGGCAGGCCACATGTCGGCTCACGGGCCGTATGTTGGACAAGCCTACTGTAGACATACTATATTTACTCAGAACCAAGATTAGGGTTTTGGGAGGGGAGGTGGCATTCCACACAGTGAGGGGGGCGGGGGGAAGCCTTGTCTTGGATTTGAGGATGGGGTCATGCTGGGGCTGAAGCCACCACCACTGCTGTTTCCTGACTGGGGTTGGAATTGCTTACTCAGTGGGGGAAGGGTCACATGGTGGGGGAGTTCAAGGGAGACCATGTGGTGCTGGAGGGATATGCAGGGTAGAGACTATGAAGCAGCAACAGAGTGACTCCAGCTCCAGCTCTGGCACTGGACTAGGCCCTGGGTCAGAGGTACTACCACCACTGCTGTCATCAAACTTGGCCAGGACCAGAGCTGCTCTGTGCCCAGGGCCAGAATTGGAGCCAAAGTGGCCACACAGGATAAGTGGCAGCAGGGGAACAGATGGTGGGAAGGACAAGTACCGAGCAGGGCAGACAGCAGAGATGCAGGCACCGAGGAGAGGTGAGGGGAGAATCCAGGGGGGCAGGCACCAGTGGGTCAGGTACTGGGGAAGAGGCAGGAGAGAACAAGTAGCAAGGCGGACAGGTGGCAGAGGGATAGGCACAGGCACCCAGGGCAGTGGGTCAAGAGGTGAGGGGTCAAGCCACCTGCCACCTGCTTCTGCTTTCCCCACTGCAGTGGTGGAGTGGATGAATTTAAGTTGACCTTCCAATAATTATTCTATATGTGGAAAATTATAATTCTGTTATAATTTTAAAAATGTATAATTTTCCATGTCTAGACTCTAATTATTTGGGAGGTTGTCTTAAATTTGAAGTCATCTTTATGTAGATGTATTGTAAAGCCTACTCTTATGGACACGTTGATAAGATCATTTAGGCAAAAGAACACTGTTTATTTCTAACAAATGCCTAAGAATAAGTCAGTGATTTTATTTTGAAGAATAAATTGCTTGTATTTTGGCATTAGCCTGGGGTTTGGAATTCCTAAATTCAAGTCCCTGAACTACTGAAAGCATTGTGTGCACTAGAAGAGTCAAGCAGGGCTTTTCTGTGGTTGAAAATTAACTAAGGTTTAAGGTAGGGTATGAATTTCAAGTGTAATACCTCTTACTGTAGAACTCCATGTGTAGATAGAATTATTCAGGAATATGAGTGCCTCCTTACTACCTAGTTTAATCCACTTTCTGAATACAACATGCCATGTTATGATACTGCAATTAACCAAGAACAAGTTTGAAGGGGTGCTTCTACATCATAGCACAGAAATAAAGCAACACAATAGAAATACCTGTATTTCTGCTTTAGAACTTCCAGTTCTAAAGTGGAGTCAGTGCTGTGTGTATCTGTGGTATTGTCTTCACAGCCAAAGCAATACTGGAACACACTCTAAACATGGGGAAAATGTATCAGACTGCAGTCTGAAAATATTAGTGATGAGCATAATATAAAACCCAGGTGAATAGATACATTTTGGAGAAGCTGCAATTTTCCATCCCATACTTAAGGTTGCAATGAGCCCTTCTTATAAGGCTATAATCTACTACCTTTATAGCTTTGGCTTGAAAAATGTGTTTGACCCAACACATGGTCAACTTTATTCTACCAGGGAAATAATTCATTTCTTCAATGTTTAAAAATATATTCTTTGTTACTGGTCATAACAAAATGTGGCGTTTTTCTATTTTATCTGTGGCTTCTTTGCTAGTCTGCCTAGTTTCTGATATAGTTACATATCTATGACAACTCATGAGTTAACTATATTTGAAAAAAAAAAGAGGTTGCAATTAATCAGTTGACTACTATTTTATTTTTTGTTATGGAAAGCATGAGAACCCACTTATGTCTGTGAAAGATTTTTGTTTTGTACTTCAGTGAGGGAAAATAATTATCTGCTTTAGCAGATAATTCTGCACTGAGAAAAATAAATCAAAAAACTCCTATTGACCTCAAAAAGTGTACAACAGAGACCTAAATGCATGTCAGCACTAGTATTTGGTTTTTTGCAACCTGTAAAAAAATATACTCTGCAATATATTAAAACTTACCATAAACCCACAGTATCGTGGCCTATTTGGATACACAGTGATTGATTCCTGGTCTACCCGACTTAGGAACCAATATGGCAGCTTCTTCTCTAAGTTTGTGTGAAGATTGACCTAAACACATAAGCATATAGGGTACTAGTTAATAAAAAAATTCAAGTACAGTATAATACAATAATCTATGTACATAAAAATCCATTATTCTGATTATACAAATTACTTTCTCATTATGCCCTCTTTATTATTACTGGGATGTCCACAATGCAAACTGTAGTGTAATGTCAAGATAACCAGGCTAGATTTAAATGAGTGAGCTAACTAGAAACAGCATGGCCCTCCACATAGGCTAATTCATCTCACTTTTCAGGAGGACAAAATGCTTAATTACTTCATCTGACCCAGCTCATTTAAAGCTAGGTTGGGTATCACACACTGCAGTCTGAAATGTGGAGTTGGTTGGAGGCTGATACTTTTCACTGTTGTGGGAAATGAGACCAGTAAGCAGATAAACAGTAATTATTGGGTGCATCTACATGTGCAATTAATGTGAAACAATCAAGTCTGCAGCAGTTTGAGCTGGAGTAAATTACTCCTGGACCCAGTCTCTACATGTGTGCTTCAGACAGCAGTAATTTGAGCTGGGGGAGAACAGACCTGGGCTGGCATAGGACGAGGGGTAGGGACAGTACTGGGGAACAAAGGTGCTGCAGAGTCGTGTGGCTAGGCAGCATACAGGAGTCTGGCCCTAGCTGTCTGGGCACAATTTACAGCTGCGGTCAATGTCTACACATGTTTGATCACAACAAATTACCCTGCATAAGATAGTATTGTCCCGGGCAGTACTATCTTACTGTGGCATTATTTAGTATACAGCGACCTAATACCAACACATGTAGACAATGACGCTTTACTCCACAGCTAATTAGTCTACTCCCCAGCTAAGTGCATGTGTAGATGGCTTTGGCTTTGGTCCTGACGTGCCAAACATTGGTTTGTGAGAAGGTCCCTGTAGAGTAGCTGAATATACCTTGCAGAAAGTCTAACCCAAGAAGAATTCTCCTTTGGCTTCACTATCTGTTTGCATTGCCACTGCAGAGTACAAAAGCCAAACAGGGCAACGAGTTCCCTTAATTCATTTTTAAACTTCTAAGGAAATATCAGACATGCACACCTGGTTCTTTAAAAAGAAGTGATACTGTATAAATTCATTTTCTCAGTAACAGCACTGTTATGTCATGATTTTGTAAAACTTGACAAAGATTGTATTGTTCAGTAAGAATTTTATATATTTTGTTAGACCTCAAAATACAGTCTGTTTTTAATTTTCTGACTGCTAAACAAGTGCAAAGCATATGTACCTTCTTCAAAAACTGCCTGTACATTTCATCCTAAACTTCTGCTTTTAGTTATTTGTATCTTTAGCAAAATAAATTAAATGTCTCACTCCTTAAGGTGTTAAGCCCAAAGTGAAGTCTTAAAATAAGTTTCACAGAAGTCAATTTAGTACATAATTTTCTGTTACATGAGCATCAAAAGAGCATAAATTTACTCATCATAAATTTGAGTTATTCAAGTATATTGTCTCTGTATAGTCCCATTTCTGGGATATCGACTTCAACTCAGCAAAGCTTTTGGAATCTTCCCAAATGTGGAGTTAAAAGAGGCCACAAGCACCTCCCTCCTCATAGCATTGATTTCCTGAATGTCCAGAACAGACACTGAAAAAGTGTTACACACTTTCAACCATCTCAGTTCCTTTTTCCAATTCTACAGTTCCTTCTACCAATTCTACAGCCTTAGGGAAGCAGAAAGTCTAGACAGGGTGAGGATGCAATTGTCAACTTTTATTTCATATCTGACAACCACATATTGTGCATATTTCCACTGTGGAAATCAAGTGGGCACAGTTCTCCAACTGAGAATGGGGCTGCCTTGTGGACTTCCCCAGCAAAGACTTTAAACCCCTGAGCTAAGCAGCCCCAGTGGGGTTGCATGGGGGATGAAGCTCTCAGAGGCAGGAGCTGAAGGACTTCCCGCACTGGGGACTTTAAACCCAGTGCCCTGCAGTTCCAATGGGGCTGCCAGGCATGGGGGATCAGAAGCTCCCAGCAAGGGGAGCTGAAGGGCTTTCCCTATCAGTGACATTAAACTCTGCACCTGGTGACTTTAAAGTCCCTGGTTGCCTTCAAATGGACCTGTGGCTGACAATCAGCTGACTGTTGATCCCAGCGATGGGACAGGTCCCCCAGGCTTTCAATTTGCTGGTGCAAGGAGAGCCTGCATTCATGATCCCAGGCTCCCCCTGCACTAGCAAGTAGAAAAGGTATGATTAGGATCTGATCTCTGAGCCCAAAATTGTGCCTCCTGCCATGCACAAATGGCAGCCCTGAGTTATGAACCTCTATGACTGGGATTCACAATTAAAAACATTTCTGGAACTTAGCTGCCAAGAGCTTGTGCCCAGCCCAAGAATGCTGCTAAGGAGCATCCCCCATGCAATGGCACCCATTCTGCACATATCAAATACCAGAAAATTAGGCAATGCAGCTTTTTTAGAGTGGCACTGAATGAACAGCTAGAATTCCTCTGAGGCTGTCTGCCTTGGACATGCCCTTCGGCGTGCACTCCAGGTCACTTAACCCACATCTCCTACTTCCTAGTCTTAACTGCTAGCCAAGAAGCAAGGCTGTGACAGGCACTCTCCAACTTTCTTGTTTAAGTTGGTTTATTCTGTAGAAAGGAATGCAAGATTTGTAGAAAGACAGTCAAGCTAGAGCATAACTGTAGCTTCACTCTAACCTGAGAGTGGGACTCTAACCAGGGAGTGAGGCTCTAGCCCTGCTCCTGTTTTTGTATTTTATCCAATCACTTTTTAATTCAAAACATAAGGAATCCTGAGCACAGCAACCAGCACCAAGACCTCTGCCCCCAAGGAAAGCACTCTTTTACTGGAGTACAGAGGCATGCTTCCTCTTGCCCCAGGTCCCTTCTCCTGCCCTAGCCTGACAGCTAGAAAAAATTGAAAATGGGAGATGTGGGTTTGAGCTATAGGTGCTGAGGAAAGTCTAGAGCTCAGGTCTCCCACTTCCAGAGCAGATACTCTAAAGTCTGAATGAATGCTACTGCTATGCATTGTACCAAATCTAAGGCCAGCGACATGCCTTCCAAATCAGCCCCCTAAGGGAACTTGGATGCACATACATCTAACTGGTGAATCCCATGTGGCACTGAATTTTGGCATTCTGAGTGGTACAGAGGGAGAAGTGAGTGCTTACCACCTCACTTAACTGCTGCAGTTGTGGCAGTGGTAGGGGCTACTCCTGTCTCAGCACAAATTCCACAAACTGTTGCTGTGGTGGCGGCAGGTGTGCGGGTTCTCTGTGGACTGACATTATGGCTCTAAACTGGCACAGAAGCTTGATACCTCCCTCAACTCTCCAAGTTCCACTAATGTTTAGGGGTGAAAGGGGTGCCAATATGCTCTGCAGTGCCAAGATGGCAGAGCCTCTGGGCATTCACTGTAGCAGAATTTTAGGCATCTATGTGAGTTTTCCAGAGAAAACAATCAGAAGTGGCTATGTGGATCACTTGTATGGACTTAGACATCTATATTCCACCTATGTTGCAATTCAGTTTTTTGGACCGAATCCCTATTTGACACTGGCTGTTATATAACGTGTCTCAAGACACAGCCTGTGACTGAGCCTCAAATATATGATATCTCTGTATTGCATCTGCCATCTCTCAGATCTTCTTGTGCTGTCTGTCAGGTGAATAGATTTTGCCCTTAAAAAAGCAAGATAACGTATTTCAAGTATTAGGGGTTTTTTGTTTGGCTACTGGCTAGTCACAGTTTCTTAAAAGTATTCATTTTTTTACCTTTGATCCTATAAGGATTTTTACAGTGATATAAATGACTGCCAGCTAGGATTTAGGATGGAATACCAATGTCAACCAATCTAGTTTATAGAGAAACATAAAGATAGGGTTACCTTAAGGATAAGGAAAATGATATAACTTGAACCAAAAGTAAAAGACACATTTAGAGGGCTTGGATATTAGTTGTACAAAAACTCAGTAATTTCAAGGCTATGTTTAAACCTTTATTATTTGGATCTCATACCGTATAGTGAATGAAACCACTAAGATACACTGCTAACCTGCATTGCGATCCTTTTGAGTGCAGCGTATTTCTGCACCTCAGCAATGTCTCCAACAGCCAAACCAATCTAAAAGTACAACACAGAAGCAAAGAGCTTTTTTAGTTACCTAATTATTTATACTGGGTGGTTTAAATTATATTCCTCAGTGATATTTATCACCCAAAACCCACTCACTAAATTATATTGTGATAACTAAACTCTAAAACAGTAAACACACATGTTTTTGTGCACTTTGTTTTCATTTTTCTTAGCAAACTATTTGACTTTCATTAATAACTACTTTCAGCAACAGTTAAAAATATATACACTTTTAAAATTATATGGTGCTATTTCTATTAATATCAATAGTAAAACTTATATTTACTTCAGATGATGCAGGACCAGACCAGCACTATGCAACTTAAAAGTATTTAGAAAATTCACTTTGATACTGCTCATGATCATATAGGAACGGTATTTCCTACAAACTTAGTTGTTTTAGTCGATCCCTTATGTTTACATAAATCCTACCATTTAGTCAATTGCCAGTGGATGTAAATGGTACAACTCCTTCTGATCTGTTTAGACAATTTGCTTTCATTTTTTTGAAAAAATGGTTTAGTTGCCTATGCCTGTAACAATATCCAGTTGTAAAACACTACAGCAAGATCAAGGCATTTGGGCCCTGCACTGGAATCTGTATAAAGCCTCATCAGTCCAGGAGGAATAGGAGGAAGGCATGAACAGAAGGTGCTCATGAACAGTTTCTTCTAGTCTTCTCAGTAAAAATAGGTAGGTAATACAATATGCTCCATCCATTAGGCTGGTACAACTTCTCTCTCCCTGGTATGCCACATGGGAAGAAGGAGAACAGGTATTCTGCACTCCACTGAGTATAGATACTAGCATTAAGGGATAGGTGCAGAAGGCTTGGCTTCCTGCATCCCCACACCAGACACCCTGAAGTTACATAAAAGCGATAATAATCTGGCCCTAAAAATATACTCAACATGGACTCTGCTGTAATAACAATGCCAAGACACTGGGTTTGGGTAGTAAAATAAAGGAAATAAGATAAAAGACACAGAAGTGGAAAAACAATATCCCAATATTTCATTTGAAAAGTCACAACTGTTGCAAGTCAGCAAAAAAAATTGTGTGTGATAATTTTGCATATAAGCATCTATTCTCACAGTCTCCTGATTTTTATGACTAAAATACTTACCAGCAAGTTCATAAGTAGAATTGGAATAAGCAGGGTAAAGATAATAAGAACTGTATAACTCAGGAAGGGATAAGGCAATTCATTACTTAGCAATGGACCAAGGAAAGCATCATGATAATTAATATCTCCTAGCATCATAGCAAATGTCTTCATTACAGAAAGGAGTGGACTGCTATACGTTTTCTGCAAAAAGAAACAAGAAAAGCAATGAAAAAGACGCAGCATGTTAAAATATGGAATGTAACGGCTCTATTCTAATTCTGCTCCTTTGGGATTATTTGCCACTTCCTTTAATTCAAGGTGGTCCCACTAGTGGTCTGTAGGCTTCATGTGGCCCAGAAGGGACTGTGTGGCCCACAGGCTCCCACCAGCTGCTGCTGCCTCTATCACTCCTGCTGCAGCAACAGTTGAGGTCTCAGGGCCTCCCCCTCCCCCACAACTCCAGCTTCTGCTGCATGCCCACATGGGCAGGGAGCAGGGTAGAGTGGCACAGCCCAAATGCCAGGGCAGGTAATAAGCCAGAGCTCCCATGTGATATGGTGCAGCAGGGGAGCTCACGGCCAGGGAACTGGTCAGGTGGGGTGCCATTCACAGGGCGTGTCTACACATGTATTTTAGCCATCTTAAATTTACTGTGGACTAAGTTACTGTGCACTAAGTGGGAATAGGCCAGCATTGACACATGCAGGTATTAAAGGGCATTAATGCTGTGTGTGGACTGACTTGGGACTAAGGTAAGTCCCAAGTCAATCCACCAGTGTTACCACACAGTAAGGCATCTACATATGCGTTACTGTGCAGTAACTAATCTGGCGTAAATTTGATACCTGCATGATACAAGTATCAAATTTACATTCAAGTTGGCATAACTTGCCATATTTACTGTGCAATACAGGCATGCACATGTAGACATGTGCCTGTACTACACAGTAATTTTGGTTACTGCACAGTAAATGTGCATGTGTAGATGTGCCTATAGCATAGCTGGGAGACAGAGAGAACGGAGATGGAAAGAAAAGTATGCCGTTGCTCTTTTTTGCAACAAGAGCACACAGTTGGCTCATATTCAGCTTAAGGTCTACTGTGACCTCCAGATCATTCTCTGCAGTACTGCATCCTAGCCAGTCATTCCCTAGTTTGTATTTGTGGATACAATTATTCCATTCCATATTCCATTCAATGTGCAGGACTTCGTTTATTCTTGGTGAATCTCATCTGACTGACTGTGGACTATTTTTCCCAGGCTATTCAGGTCATTCTGAATCCTAGCCCTGCACTCCATAGTCTGCAACTCCACTCCACTCAGTGTCATCTGCAAATTTGCTAAGCATACACTTGATCCGAATAGATAATGATGTTAAACAATACCAGACCCAGAACAGACCCTGGTGAACCCCTCTGGATCTAAATTCCTTTAAAACTCTTGAGGAAGATTTGTGCAAGAAGGGTTCCCCACTATATGGGGATACTTTGCGGCAATTATGCTTCTGTAGATGGGAAACACCAGATTCTTTCATTTGAAAAATGAACATCAGGTTTTAATATGGTTACTGAATAATTATAAGGCATTATATTTTCAAGGATAAATTTTTCCCTACTTACAGTATAAAATGTCCTAATTTTACTAAATGAAATTGCTTCATCAGTTCTATCTACCAAATAGTGTAATACAGAAAATGTACAAGGCTTTATAATTTCCAGTCACAAAAAATAACATAGGCATTAATTTTACCTGTGAACCCAAAAGAACAAAAAAGCTGAGTCCAAAGGCCAATATCAGGAAAAAGAATACAACAACAATCCGAATCAAAGTCCTCAGTATCTCCCAGAACATCACCACATAGATTCCATAGTTTTCAAATCTAAGTAAGCATTTGAAAGAAAAAGATAACTATTATCAAACACTTTCCCTATATGTAAAACTACAGGCTACTTTCCCTGTATGTAAAACAGCATGAAATATTAAATTTTGTACACTGTAGCAGACACTTTGCTTCTATGACAGCTTCTTAAATGGTCAGAACAGTACCTAATTCAGGTGCATGAAAATGGAAAAAGTCTAGTTTATCAGTTTAGAACATGATGTACCATACTTTAATTGAAGGTTTAATAGACACTTCTTTCCCACCCACAATCACAAAAATCACAATTTTCCACACTGAAACAGATGCCTGGTAATCCTATGCTTCAGAGCTATTGCTGGTTGCATGCTGCTGCCAAAAGAAAATTCCTCTACCCCTCCATCCCTCTACCCCTCCTGCAACTGAATTTATTATTTGGCTTCCAGGTTTTTTTTTTGTTTGGTTGGTTTGTTTTTTCACACTTTTCTTTGAAGCAGTGGCCACTGACCACAGTTAGTGGTGGGAGTTGGACTGGAATACACACGTGCTTCTAATGACACTTAAACATCACAGGTAGCTGGCTGGTAAGGACTGCTCAGCATCAAACTGATCACTTTTTGACATCACAAGGTCATATTGACAAGGACTTTTTTCCCTGTCTCCACAGAGTGGGGTACAGTCTACTTCCTGCAATTTTCTGAGCAAATTTGAGGAATTTAATGAATTTCCTGCCATTGGTCCATTCCAATTCCTGCCTCATAACATTTTTTCATAGAGTGCTTTGTGTCTGTAATGTGAAAGGAATAGTGACAGCTAGACAATCAGCCAAGAAAAAACCTTCCCTTCCATAACTCCTTGTTAGGAAAACAGGGCAGAGACAATTTTAGTTTGCCATTTAATCAGGGCCAGACACAGGCCTGGGTGAACTGGGTGGCCACACAGGGCCCAGACAGAAAGGGGGCCTGAGAATGGTAATTTTTTTTCTATTGTCTGATTATTATTATCATTATCTTTGGTGAAGGGCAGCCCAATACTAAAAGTTCACCTGGGGCTGCCAGGAGTCTAGTTACAGTACTGAATTTAATCAAAAAATGGTAGATAAGGCTGCTTTCTCCTCCCTATAACTACAAAGCTTTCCTTTTGTTAGGTATAACTTTACTTCAGCAGGTCTTTTTAAAGTTCTCATATGCAAAAAGTATTTTTTATTTTATTTTTTTTTTTACAGTGAGAGGCTAGACAATAACAACACTTTTAAAAATATTATTTGCTAGCCACTGAAAAACTTAAGAAATATCGTTTGGAGAGTGGTATTTGATATACCTATTGATTTTTCACTTGGTATAATATACTATGAAATTTTGGTTTTGAAAAACACTGAACCTTACTTTAAAGTTTCTGAAATAGCAACAAAGAACTTAACATACGTGTGTTTAACTCTATCCATGAAAACTATTGAATTAAATGGCTCCATTTGTAGTGTGTCTAGGATCAGAAATTAAATGTTACCTTTGAAGATAAAGCAAGAAGTTCATCCAAGATAAGTATACAGCAATTGCTCCACATTCCCACTGCAAGTGACCAGGGATGGTAGCAAATAGTGACGACACAAAAATAATGCTTGTAGTATAAATTGTCCAGTCCAGCAGGTTGGAGTAGTCCAATAAATACTTCAATTTCTGGGATATGAGAGACAGCAAATTAGCATACTGACCAGTATTAAATCATTATAATAGTAAATTAGGTAATGTTTTTCTCATTGCTTCAAGTTTAAATCTCTTGGATATAAAAGAGTTAGGATTATCTTTTAATAAGAGAATAATGAAGACATATTTTAATATCAAATAATTTATTATGATTAATAATTGACAAACAAAGTACGCTTTTTTAGTTACCTAATTATTTATACTGGGTGGTTTAAATTATATTCCTCAGTGATATTTATCACCCAAAACCCACTCACTAAATTATATTGTGATAACTAAACTCTAAAACAGTAAACACACATGTTTTTGTGCACTTTGTTTTCATTTTTCTTAGCAAACTATTTGACTTTCATTAATAACTACTTTCAGCAACAGTTAAAAATATATACACTTTTAAAATTATATGGTGCTATTTCTATTAATATCAATAGTAAAACTTATATTTACTTCAGATGATGCAGGACCAGACCAGCACTATGCAACTTAAAAGTATTTAGAAAATTCACTTTGATACTGCTCATGATCATATAGGAACGGTATTTCCTACAAACTTAGTTGTTTTAGTCGATCCCTTATGTTTACATAAATCCTACCATTTAGTCAATTGCCAGTGGATGTAAATGGTACAACTCCTTCTGATCTGTTTAGACAATTTGCTTTCATTTTTTTGAAAAAATGGTTTAGTTGCCTATGCCTGTAACAATATCCAGTTGTAAAACACTACAGCAAGATCAAGGCATTTGGGCCCTGCACTGGAATCTGTATAAAGCCTCATCAGTCCAGGAGGAATAGGAGGAAGGCATGAACAGAAGGTGCTCATGAACAGTTTCTTCTAGTCTTCTCAGTAAAAATAGGTAGGTAATACAATATGCTCCATCCATTAGGCTGGTACAACTTCTCTCTCCCTGGTATGCCACATGGGAAGAAGGAGAACAGGTATTCTGCACTCCACTGAGTATAGATACTAGCATTAAGGGATAGGTGCAGAAGGCTTGGCTTCCTGCATCCCCACACCAGACACCCTGAAGTTACATAAAAGCGATAATAATCTGGCCCTAAAAATATACTCAACATGGACTCTGCTGTAATAACAATGCCAAGACACTGGGTTTGGGTAGTAAAATAAAGGAAATAAGATAAAAGACACAGAAGTGGAAAAACAATATCCCAATATTTCATTTGAAAAGTCACAACTGTTGCAAGTCAGCAAAAAAAATTGTGTGTGATAATTTTGCATATAAGCATCTATTCTCACAGTCTCCTGATTTTTATGACTAAAATACTTACCAGCAAGTTCATAAGTAGAATTGGAATAAGCAGGGTAAAGATAATAAGAACTGTATAACTCAGGAAGGGATAAGGCAATTCATTACTTAGCAATGGACCAAGGAAAGCATCATGATAATTAATATCTCCTAGCATCATAGCAAATGTCTTCATTACAGAAAGGAGTGGACTGCTATACGTTTTCTGCAAAAAGAAACAAGAAAAGCAATGAAAAAGACGCAGCATGTTAAAATATGGAATGTAACGGCTCTATTCTAATTCTGCTCCTTTGGGATTATTTGCCACTTCCTTTAATTCAAGGTGGTCCCACTAGTGGTCTGTAGGCTTCATGTGGCCCAGAAGGGACTGTGTGGCCCACAGGCTCCCACCAGCTGCTGCTGCCTCTATCACTCCTGCTGCAGCAACAGTTGAGGTCTCAGGGCCTCCCCCTCCCCCACAACTCCAGCTTCTGCTGCATGCCCACATGGGCAGGGAGCAGGGTAGAGTGGCACAGCCCAAATGCCAGGGCAGGTAATAAGCCAGAGCTCCCATGTGATATGGTGCAGCAGGGGAGCTCACGGCCAGGGAACTGGTCAGGTGGGGTGCCATTCACAGGGCGTGTCTACACATGTATTTTAGCCATCTTAAATTTACTGTGGACTAAGTTACTGTGCACTAAGTGGGAATAGGCCAGCATTGACACATGCAGGTATTAAAGGGCATTAATGCTGTGTGTGGACTGACTTGGGACTAAGGTAAGTCCCAAGTCAATCCACCAGTGTTACCACACAGTAAGGCATCTACATATGCGTTACTGTGCAGTAACTAATCTGGCGTAAATTTGATACCTGCATGATACAAGTATCAAATTTACATTCAAGTTGGCATAACTTGCCATATTTACTGTGCAATACAGGCATGCACATGTAGACATGTGCCTGTACTACACAGTAATTTTGGTTACTGCACAGTAAATGTGCATGTGTAGATGTGCCTATAGCATAGCTGGGAGACAGAGAGAACGGAGATGGAAAGAAAAGTATGCCGTTGCTCTTTTTTGCAACAAGAGCACACAGTTGGCTCATATTCAGCTTAAGGTCTACTGTGACCTCCAGATCATTCTCTGCAGTACTGCATCCTAGCCAGTCATTCCCTAGTTTGTATTTGTGGATACAATTATTCCATTCCATATTCCATTCAATGTGCAGGACTTCGTTTATTCTTGGTGAATCTCATCTGACTGACTGTGGACTATTTTTCCCAGGCTATTCAGGTCATTCTGAATCCTAGCCCTGCACTCCATAGTCTGCAACTCCACTCCACTCAGTGTCATCTGCAAATTTGCTAAGCATACACTTGATCCGAATAGATAATGATGTTAAACAATACCAGACCCAGAACAGACCCTGGTGAACCCCTCTGGATCTAAATTCCTTTAAAACTCTTGAGGAAGATTTGTGCAAGAAGGGTTCCCCACTATATGGGGATACTTTGCGGCAATTATGCTTCTGTAGATGGGAAACACCAGATTCTTTCATTTGAAAAATGAACATCAGGTTTTAATATGGTTACTGAATAATTATAAGGCATTATATTTTCAAGGATAAATTTTTCCCTACTTACAGTATAAAATGTCCTAATTTTACTAAATGAAATTGCTTCATCAGTTCTATCTACCAAATAGTGTAATACAGAAAATGTACAAGGCTTTATAATTTCCAGTCACAAAAAATAACATAGGCATTAATTTTACCTGTGAACCCAAAAGAACAAAAAAGCTGAGTCCAAAGGCCAATATCAGGAAAAAGAATACAACAACAATCCGAATCAAAGTCCTCAGTATCTCCCAGAACATCACCACATAGATTCCATAGTTTTCAAATCTAAGTAAGCATTTGAAAGAAAAAGATAACTATTATCAAACACTTTCCCTATATGTAAAACTACAGGCTACTTTCCCTGTATGTAAAACAGCATGAAATATTAAATTTTGTACACTGTAGCAGACACTTTGCTTCTATGACAGCTTCTTAAATGGTCAGAACAGTACCTAATTCAGGTGCATGAAAATGGAAAAAGTCTAGTTTATCAGTTTAGAACATGATGTACCATACTTTAATTGAAGGTTTAATAGACACTTCTTTCCCACCCACAATCACAAAAATCACAATTTTCCACACTGAAACAGATGCCTGGTAATCCTATGCTTCAGAGCTATTGCTGGTTGCATGCTGCTGCCAAAAGAAAATTCCTCTACCCCTCCATCCCTCTACCCCTCCTGCAACTGAATTTATTATTTGGCTTCCAGGTTTTTTTTTTGTTTGGTTGGTTTGTTTTTTCACACTTTTCTTTGAAGCAGTGGCCACTGACCACAGTTAGTGGTGGGAGTTGGACTGGAATACACACGTGCTTCTAATGACACTTAAACATCACAGGTAGCTGGCTGGTAAGGACTGCTCAGCATCAAACTGATCACTTTTTGACATCACAAGGTCATATTGACAAGGACTTTTTTCCCTGTCTCCACAGAGTGGGGTACAGTCTACTTCCTGCAATTTTCTGAGCAAATTTGAGGAATTTAATGAATTTCCTGCCATTGGTCCATTCCAATTCCTGCCTCATAACATTTTTTCATAGAGTGCTTTGTGTCTGTAATGTGAAAGGAATAGTGACAGCTAGACAATCAGCCAAGAAAAAACCTTCCCTTCCATAACTCCTTGTTAGGAAAACAGGGCAGAGACAATTTTAGTTTGCCATTTAATCAGGGCCAGACACAGGCCTGGGTGAACTGGGTGGCCACACAGGGCCCAGACAGAAAGGGGGCCTGAGAATGGTAATTTTTTTTCTATTGTCTGATTATTATTATCATTATCTTTGGTGAAGGGCAGCCCAATACTAAAAGTTCACCTGGGGCTGCCAGGAGTCTAGTTACAGTACTGAATTTAATCAAAAAATGGTAGATAAGGCTGCTTTCTCCTCCCTATAACTACAAAGCTTTCCTTTTGTTAGGTATAACTTTACTTCAGCAGGTCTTTTTAAAGTTCTCATATGCAAAAAGTATTTTTTATTTTTTTTTTTTTTTTACAGTGAGAGGCTAGACAATAACAACACTTTTAAAAATATTATTTGCTAGCCACTGAAAAACTTAAGAAATATCGTTTGGAGAGTGGTATTTGATATACCTATTGATTTTTCACTTGGTATAATATACTATGAAATTTTGGTTTTGAAAAACACTGAACCTTACTTTAAAGTTTCTGAAATAGCAACAAAGAACTTAACATACGTGTGTTTAACTCTATCCATGAAAACTATTGAATTAAATGGCTCCATTTGTAGTGTGTCTAGGATCAGAAATTAAATGTTACCTTTGAAGATAAAGCAAGAAGTTCATCCAAGATAAGTATACAGCAATTGCTCCACATTCCCACTGCAAGTGACCAGGGATGGTAGCAAATAGTGACGACACAAAAATAATGCTTGTAGTATAAATTGTCCAGTCCAGCAGGTTGGAGTAGTCCAATAAATACTTCAATTTCTGGGATATGAGAGACAGCAAATTAGCATACTGACCAGTATTAAATCATTATAATAGTAAATTAGGTAATGTTTTTCTCATTGCTTCAAGTTTAAATCTCTTGGATATAAAAGAGTTAGGATTATCTTTTAATAAGAGAATAATGAAGACATATTTTAATATCAAATAATTTATTATGATTAATAATTGACAAACAAAGTACGCACACACTTCAACACACTTACTTGTTGAATGAGTTGAAATATTTCTTTGCATATTCCCAATAAACTCATGATTAATACTAAGCACATGCATACTCTTATAAAGTATGATTCCTGCAATAGAAAAACACAAAGGAAAACAAATAATTTGAAAAGAATAAATGTAAGAGACTCTTGATTTAAGTTCTACTTAGCATAGTCACATTACATAGATAAGATGTGCTTGCTTGCTAATGAAACACAGAACATTTTCCCTGACTTGGTTCATATGTATTATGGGTTCCAAGTCCTGTATCACCTTGCAAACAACTCTGAAGATTACAGTGAGAAAAAATGCAAATGGCAGGTTCTCCAACAACTGAATCATGAAAGCATGTTCTTCTAGGGAAAGGGACAGAAATTACACATAAACTGGTATAAGTTACTGGAAAGCGACTTAAATCTGTAACACAAAAGAAGTTCAGTACATGTAAATCGCTTTCAAAGGGTGCAGACAGAAATGACATTTGTCATGTAATCAGCCCCTTGAAAGTGCTCTAAAGCTGTGCCTAAACGGCAGAACCCTCTGATTGCTCCAGATGCAAGAGCAGCCCAGCCAAGCTGCTGTCTCTGGATGGGAGAGGGAAAGTACAGGGGAGGGAGGTCCCTTCTGGGGTTTTCTCAGTCCCACTGGAGTAGGGTGGGGGCAGGTGGATTGGAGCCCTTCACCTTGGGGGACTCCAATCTACCCAGCCCTGCACTCCAACAGGACGGCAAAAACCCCAGAAGGGACTTCCAGCCCCTGCCTTCTCCCCGCTTCCATCCACAGATAGGAATGGTGCTCCAAGAGCATTGGGTGGAGCCTGGGAAAGAGACAGGGGAAGAAGAGGCGCAGGGAAGAGCCAGGGGAAGATGCAAATTGGAGCCGATCTTCCACCTTCCCAATCCAACAACTAATGTCTGTTGGGTCAGGAGGGTTAGTCTATGAATTACCATGAGCTAGACCCAGGAGCTGCACTTCTGTATGCACCCAAAATGGCCAAATCTGGTTTAAGATAAACCTGGATGGACACAGTATCAGACTTTAGTCTAAAATTGGTTTATCAAACTTCTGTCCCAGATCCCCTCCAGATTCAAATTAACTCAGTCTCTCAGCATCCCAGGATGCTTTGCACCTCCCCCACAAACCCCGCCTCACAGGGTAGGTAGGCTAGTGCTGGCCCAAGCTGTGTGCTCCAGCTGAGCAAGGAGGTGTGCTCTAGTGCAGTGGTTCTCAACCTTTTTTGTATTAGGATGCATTTTTAAACATCAATGGCCAGTCCCAACCCAGTTCCCCTCACTCCCAACCTGCTAACCCCAGGCCTCAGCCCCCCAGGGTGCGGGGCAGTGGGGGGGGGGTGCAAGAAGTCCCTTGCAGGCTGAAATGTTTCCCACATTTCCCTACCTTTTTCTCCTTTAAAGGAGAATCATTTTAAAAGTTTGTTCATAACCCTTTCATATATTCTTGTCACCCACTTTTGGGTCATAACCCACAGGCTGAGAAACACTGATCAAGTGCCCTCCAGCTTCTGGTCTGAGCCACTGCAGGCATATGGTTGTGTTTCTAGAATCAAAAGTGAATGTCTGTTCACTTGCTTGTCAGTTCTATCTACGCAGCTTAGAGCAACCTATGAAGACTGAATTGATTCAGCCTCAGGCTTTTTGACCGTCTATACTTAGCCTAAATCAACAAAAGCACTTCTTAGTGATGAGTATTTCCATGTCAAATTTCAAAAGGTTTACAGTGTTTTTTCTTATTATGGCAAAAGCATATTGCTTTCTGTCTCTTTATTGTTAAGTAGAGCTAAATATTTTTTGTTCAAACTAATGAAAAATTTACCCTAGGCCACAGATTGAAATTAACATTTTGTCTCCCAAAAAAGAATCTTTCAGAAACCAAGCGACTGATAAATATAGTAGTTCCATAAAAAAAATATAGTAGTCCCATAAATACTTCAGTTGCAGAAACATATGACTAGGAAGTAATATTACTGGGTGTAATAAGTTTTATATTCAATAAATTAAAATAGCAAAATGATCAATAATTCTACAAATTATATTTCAACCATGACAACCCACTTTTAAAAAAATAGACATGTTGAAACCAATTAAAAACAGTACCTCAGATACTAATGGTCCTGAATTATAGGTCTCGCTTCCATTTAAAGTCTTTCTTGGCTTTATGTTGGTGACCAGAAGAGTGAGTGGAATGAGACCAAGAGAATATACGCCCAAGTTCATAAGATGTGCACGAAACCCATATGCCATCCTGGAAAATGAAAAAAAAGTTATAAAACATGGAAATATAATTTTAGTAGGAGAGTAGGGATTGCCTGGGTTAGGGGGCAGTGAGCCAGCTAGTGAGGCCAGTGAGCCAGTCCTCTCAGCTCCAGGTAAGGAGCAGAGAGGTGGGGCCAGCCCTGCTCTTTGGAGCAGACAGCACAGCTCAGCCCAGGGCTGCAAAATGTTGGGATGCTAGGAGACATTGATTTAACTTGAACCAGGAAGGGGTCTGGGATAGAAGTTTCATAAACCGGTTTGACCTAAATCAGTTAGATCTGATACTACATTGAACTAGGTTTGTCTTAAACCAGTTTCAGCCATTTTCAAACTGGTTTATGTGCACTGAACTTCTATTCTGTTACAGGTTTAAACTAATTTCTGGTGTATAACTTCTGTCCCTAGCCTTACAGACAAGGCCATGGAGTTCACAGTGCACAAAGGCTTAATAGCCCTCTTTAATGAACCAGTTTTCATTTCCTTTGAAGTTTCTGAAGTTAACCTACATTTTTTGTAATAGGTTTTAGTTTTTTAAGTGCTAATGAAGATTGTGGTAGGTTTCATTTTGCAAGTGTTAACATTAAAACAACTCTTTATATCCTGATGCTTGATATATTTTAAATCCTCTTATCAGTGTGACTGGATGCAAGTGGCATTGACTAAAATTCTAAATTTAAAGAGCCCTTTCTCTGCCACAAATCTTATCCGTAAATTGTATACAAAATGTTTCTTTTTAGTATTGCCTTTCTTTCTGTATTCTATTTTATTGAAAACCTGATTCTATAAGAATTTCAAAATAACAATTAACTCCACCTAAATTATACAAGCAAACACTAAAGTCTAATTAACAATACATACCACTTCATGAGCAAATATTCTTTACATACAGGATGACTGAGAAGCTCCATACAGTTATGGCGTACCATGGCCTATAACATATGCAAACAAGTGTGTCAAATGTATAGTACATCTCCTTCAGCTGAGTGAGCCACTTACAAAGCAATAGGATAAACCAGGGCTGTCAAACTTCTGGGTAGCACATCCCCCCGCAACTTTGTGTGCATAGTGCAGGCAGCATATACTCCTCTCTGCCCCGCCTCCCACTGCACTATCCAACCCCCAGGAGCATATCAGGAAGCAGAAGCTGGAAGAGAGAGGGGGAGCCCAGAGCCCCAGCCACCATAGCAGTAGGAGCACTGAGAGGAGTGGTGGGTACGCAAGAGCCCATAGGCTAACCCCTCACAGGATGACAGCCCTGGCTTAGACTATTTACTTCAGTACTTGATAAAAATTCTAGCCTATTACAAAATGAAATACATTGGAGAAATCTCAAAACTCTTATGGGTTTTGTTTGTTTGGTTTGTTTTATTCATTCTGGAAAAATCAAAATTACTACTCTGTATAAATGTTGTCATTAGACATTCCACCTTCTTTTGTCTCTATCAAATTTAAATGTAAAAATCTTAAACTTACTCAAAAAACATAATTTTAACTTCAAAAGACAGCATATATTGGCATAAAATAAGCAGTAATTATATTATGTTGCAAGAGCAAACACTGATGAATGTGATACATTGCATGGAGAACAGATGAGGATTCATTTATTCCAGTTAATTCCAGGTGCTATTTAATTATTCAACTGTATGATCTGTCCAATTACCAATTATTAGCTTACTTTATTTAAAAAAGCCAGGTCATAAGTAGGTAATAAGTTTAATAACCTAATTTTATCATTACTAAACTGAGAAGAACAGAATATTGTTTAAGGCTAATGTTGTATGAGAATGCTGAAATTTGTGTTAAATGCTTTTCATAGACATCAGTCTATGACTGATTTATAGTTTTATTATTACATATGTGCTCATACCTTCTTTTATTCATAATAATAACTTGTGTCCTTGCGATATCATCTCTGAAAATATTTAGAAATGCTCTTTGCAATCCAGGATGTGTTCACAAATGATAAAGGACTGGTTTGCTTAGATGTGCTATCCATACATTTAATTTGTTTCTCCCTCTTGAATTTTCCATAACTCATACTAAGCTATATAAACAACTGCGCTGTATAAATAAGCTCAACATTTCTATCCAAACAGCCAAGTCTATATTGTTTATGTAAATTATTGTCAATAATACATACCACTTTATGAGCAAATATTCTTTACATACAGGATGACTGAGAAGTTCCATACAGTTATGGCGTACCATGAACTTTGGCTAATAAATTAATGACCAAGTTTCAACCCAACATGCTTCAAACTTGCTGAATTGGAAATAAAGTATTTACTATGAAACAAACAACTTCCAACAGTATCAATATACAATACTTTAATTATTAAATAGAAGAACCTACGTTTAGAATGGTAAGTGGTTCGTATTCAATTTCTTCATCTCCCTTTGGTTTCCTAAGAGTTAGAGGACACTGAAGATACCTGAAGTTATATTCAATCTGTATAGGAAACACATGCAAGAGTGTTTGTTTATGACTATACTGATATACTAATATTGATTTATTACTTTCAATTAAAAAAAGAAACATCTCAAGAGAAAAATGACTACGGTAGCAGAATAACTTGTGTGTTTATGCAAATAGACACATGGTAGTACTCAGATAATCAATCCACCAATAAAATTAAGCACTTGACATGACCACCTATGGTTATTGCTTTTAATTTATTTTAGCGCTGATTATAAGTTAAGGAGTTATATATTTTTGGCACTATAGTAAGAAAAAAAGCCACAGTAAAGCAATCGTTTTCCAAATCATCCATTACTGCTTTTGACACAATTGTGAATCTTTATGATAATTTTAATTTAATTCAAAATTAGTGCAATTGGAAGAATATATTATGATCTGAAATATATTATGATTCGCTAACCAATGTACATTGGTTTTGTACATTGATGTAAATTACTGTGGAAGCAAGAACAGACAGGCAGGTACCTGCCTATCTCAGTAGGCACTAGTATAGTGATTCTCAATCTTTTTAGCTTCAAGGCACCCCTCTATAACTTTTCTGAATTTTGCAACACCCCAGTTGAGAATCACTGAGCTAGAATCTAAATTCAGACAAGATATGGAGGGGCTCCTGAGGCTAAAAAAGCTGAGAATCACTGTTCTAACCTGACAAGATTCATAGGTTCATAGATGTTAGGGGCAGAAGGGACCTCAGTAGGTCACTAAGTCTGACCCCTTGCCTTGGGCAGGAAAGGGTAGCATAAACAGGACCTAACCCTGATCTTTTCATTAATCTACCCCCTCCCTGTCCCCCAAGGTGTACTTGGGTGGTCACAGGTGGTCCCTCCATGGAGTCTGCTCCTGTGAGCACTCACATGCAGGTAACTGCTACCACACTACCCTCCTCCAACAGGCCCTGGGAGTGTGGGAGGAGCAGAGGGAATGAGCCACTCTGCGAAGTGTGGCTCTAGCCCCATGTCCATCCACCTACCTGCTCATCCACAGCCTAATGAGCTGCTGAGAATGCTGGGGCAGCCCTATACCAACTTCCAGAAAGCATAAGAGGGCAGGGATGGCACTAGTGGTGGCAGTTCTTAGAGGAATACCTATAGGTGCCTCTGGAGTGGTCCAAGGTGCCAGATGAAGGGAGATCATTTGCCTCCTCACCCAGGGGCTCAGCAGCATGGCACCCATAAAGGGATCTGGTGGCACCCCAAGGTGCTGTAGGTCCCAACTGCAAATCACTGTCCTATTACAATACCTTGCAACTGAGTCAGGCCACAGCCTTGAACCTTGGGTCTTGGCCTACAAGACAGGCAGTAATTTCAGCCTGCACCCTGTGACTATCCAGCCAGGCTGCTCAAAGCCAGTGTGAAGTCTCTAGTAGGACCTAATCTTCCGCCCACTTCCTGTCCCCAGAGTGGCTGGTGGGAGTCAGTTGACTCTCCACTTCCCACATATAAATCTATGATTTGGAACAAGAAGTGCCTGGCCAATTGACCCAAGTTCGCTTCAGTCCTCCCTTTGGCTTGTTCCTTAGCTTATCTTTGTTTCTGATCTCTTGAGTTCTTGATTCAGTCTGTCCCTGGGTTTTGCTCCTGGATTGACTGCCTGCCTGGCTTTCTAACCCAGGTTGACTTCCCATTCCACTTATCTATCCAAGCCCTAGCCCCTTGATCCTCAGGTAGCCCCAGGCCTGGCCACTCACATCCTGGCATGACAGTAACACTTATCTTGAGCTAACAGCTTCTCAGGATTAAGCTGTAATTCACACTAGTGTAGTTTTACCACTAATTTTTCTAGGATAATTCTACACTGGATTCTAATAAATTACACCAGCATGGGACCATTTGTCCTGTATTGTGTTCAGCATCTTCAATTACCTAGAAATGGGAGTGCACAGGGAAATTTCTGAGTTTGCAAATGGTACTAAACTATTCCAAGTAGTTGAATCCCAAGTGGATAGAGAAAAGCAGCAGAAAAATCTCACAAAGCTAAGTGAGTAGGCAAAAAAAAGATAGATAGATGAGGTTCAATGTCAACAAGTGCAAGGTAATGCACAAGAGGAAAAATAACTCCAACTACACATATGCAATGCTGTGGTCTGAGCTAGCTGTTAAAACTCAGGAAAGATACTTCAGGGCACTTATACACTTACTTTTTTGCCCCGCAACACATGTAGTATGAATTTTTCCATATTAGTTATTATGCTTAAATGATAATAGTACTGAATTGATAAACCTCTGTGATTTTATGAACAACTAAAACTCCATTTTGTGCTTGCTTGACATAAGTAGATGAACTTCTTATGCCCTGTGTACGTGAGTGTCTGTGTGAGAGGGTGAATGGTGAAAGAATGGTAACTATTTGCATGAAAACAGGAGAAGATTTCACTGACTGTGTAAGCAACAAGGCACTGATGTATAAGTTACCAGACAGTAAACTAATTAAGCTAAAGAATGGATGGCTGAACAACTCATCTGTGATCAGGTGCAAAGAAGGAATTTTGCGTATCCTGCCATTTGAACTGCAGAATGCTTCAAGAACATAATGCTTCAAGGCAAAGATTAAGATACCAATGGACATACCAACTTTATTGGAATGACCTCAAGTTGAGATAACAAGAAGAAACAATCTCTAATTAAAGACTGAGCATGGAAAACCCCCAATGCTGAACAAAGACTTGAAATCCCTATGAAAGTGAGATGCAGACAAGCCAAGATGGGGAGTCTACTCTCTGCAACCTTATGGAGTACAGGCACGCATGTCTGTTCTTCCCCAGCTCCTGTCACCATCAATAAGCCTGGACCCAGCCATCCAGTGCTAATATTGTAACATCTGCTGGTAACGATAACATCTTACTGGAGTGGTTTTGTCTGTATGTCTGTTTGTATCTATGCTCGTGTATATCGCTGTATGACTGGCGTGTCCAAGCTTGTGTATCTGCTTCATGTAACCAATAAACATGGCATTTTGCCTTATCCTCCTTTTAAGTTCTCGCTCTTAATTTGAGCTATTGGCAGTTTTAAGTAACATACATGGGGATCCACTGCTTCAGAGCTGACCCTATTAATTAAGTCTGCACCACATGCAAGCTGATACAAACTGTGCTGTGCCACGTGAAGTTGTATTAGCAGCCAAATGCGCATCAGTGCACAGAAAATGGCAGCACCTTCTTTGTGTTTTAGTTCAAAAGCGGGCCACTGCCACTTTCTCAGCACTCACATGCATTTAACTACTTATACAACTGTAAGCATTACAACGCCGTGTGCTTTTGTGTGTAAAAATGCCCTTAGAGTCATTGTAGACAGTTTTCTGAAAACACCAGCTCAATGTACAGCAGCAACCAAAAAAACCCAATAAAATGTTGGGCAACATTAAGAAGGGAACTGAAAACAAAAATAGAAAACATCACCACACCACTATACAAATCCATGGTGGCCTCAAAACATGACTACTGTGTGCAATTCTGGTGTCTTCATCTCAACAAAGATATAATAAAATTAGAAAAAAATAATACAAAAAAACACAATAGAAATAATCACGGGTATGGGCTGTCAGACTAAAAAGGCTAGGGTTCTTCAGCTTGTAAAGAAGGCCAAGGATAGGATGTAAGAAAGGTCTATCAAGTTATAAAGGGTGTGGACAAAGTAAATAGAGAACTGTTATTCACCACATCCCAAAATACAAGAAGCACCCGCTGAATTTAGCAGGAGACAGGTCTGAAATTAACAAGAGAAAGTGACTTTTCATGCCACATGTAGTGAACTTGTGGAACTGATTGCCTCAGGAGGATATAGAGGCAAAAAGCCAGGTTCCAAAAGGGACCAGACAAATGTATAGATGAATAGCTATTATGTTTAATAGCTATTAAACTGAACTGTCAGGGATGTTTCCTCTTATATACTTGTGTGGCAAGTACCAGTGGCATCCCCTGCTGCAGATGTTTCTTCTTTTATAAGTATGAAAGGTTGAATCTTTTCAACAGTTGTCTGTATGCTGAATTGATGACAGTGCCATTGCACTTGAAAGGGACCTCAACAAGTTACCTGATATTAACTCAGTGTACCCCTGATTATATAGAACTGCTTTATAAAATCCTCTCTCTAAAAGGCTGCGTTGCACATAAGTTTCTCTCCTCAGACAGGCTATGGATTTTGAGCATATACTTCTTTCAAATGAGAATTCTGACTTCCTGAATCTTTTCTTTTTCTTCTTACCCCAAACTGGAGCCATGGTATTTCATTAACATGTACCAGCACATTTATAAGACTGTGACTGTATTAAAGCTCCTACAGGCAAAATTGATGACTATGTATAGGATCTGGGGGGGCAAGAAGGGTAGCCACCCTGGCACCTGATCCTCCTTAGGTCCACGCTGCTTGCTAGTAGTCCTTACCCAGTCCACACTCACCTCCAGCTTCTCACCTGCCATGACTTTGGTGTAGCTGTATTGGTTGTTGGAGATGGCAATCCCAGGGGGCTAGGCTTTACCTCATGGGTCCTGATCTGCCTGGTCATGCTAGCACCCCATCAGGGCCTTTGCTCTCTTTCTGGTACTTCCCCTTTAAGGCAGAGCTCACATAGGATTCTGAGCACTTGTTGGGGTTTTGGTTGTCACAGCACTGGCCCCTTTTTCTCTCTGACCATACCCTTTGCTTTGGCCCACAGTTCAAGACCTCAGATTCTGGGAATTAATCTTGTCCTAATGGCAGCTCCCCCTTTCCTGGGGGTCCTCTTTCACCTCGGTAGTTTCTGCCCTCTGCCTTGGGGCTGTCTTCTGGTACCTACTGCAGGGAAGCACACTCAGGCATCCCTGTCCATGGTCTCCTCCACCCCTATATCCACAATCTGGTTCTCTGGTTACAAGTCCAAAATGAAAAAACAAAAACACAAGCCAACTACTTCACAACAATCTCTCTCAGTCAGCATAAAGTGTTTCCCACAGGCCCTACCTTCCATAGGAGCCCTCTTACCTACAGCTCCCCAGTGCAGCTTTTGAGGTTTTATTTCTGCCCCCAGCAGCTCCTTTCTCTCAGGCTCCTTTCCCTCCTGTAAGCAGGGGCCACCCTCTGTCTACTGATCTTATATTCCCCAGCCCAGCCTCCTTCCAGTCACCTAATTGGCCCTTCTGCCCCTCTCCCCTAAGGTCAGGTGTACTTAGTTGCTTCACTAGCTGCCTGACCCCTGGTTCTTTACCTAAACAAAGCCTCCCTCCCTTTAATGTAGTGTAACAGGCAGGGGTTTCCTGATACACTACATTAAAGAACATTATGATAGTCTATGACAACAGTTCCAAAGAGTGTTAACAAACTTGGACAATAAAAAACAACAACATTTTACCCCCAAAACCTGCTATGGCCTGATCCCACAGCATCTGACATCAGTGAAAACTTAGCTATTCAGTTCAAATGTGGCAGAACAGTTCTGATAGGGAGTACCAGTAGCTGCTTTTACTATATGATATGCACCACAGACTGACAGAAGGGAGGCGAAGTAATAACTGGTATCCACCAGACTGCTTAACAGCCAGGTGACTGTGCCTTGAGCACTCTGGTACAAGGGAAGACACTGAAGACTGTAATGATCTACATCCTCAAGAATTCTGAAGCAGTCATTGAAAGTATATAAAGAATATGATATAGCAATAGATCATTTACACTGCTGCCTTAACATGAAATTTGAGTTGAGTTATATAGGAAATGTATGTTGAAATACCAATTAGTTTGAATCCCAACTTGGATTGAAGTGTTTCTGTTAAGCCTATTCCATCAGGTATATAAGAAAATGCATTCACAGAATAATGGGGGGAAAGTAGGACTGGAAGATAACTCAAGTCACATAGTCCTCTTCTCAAGGCAGGTTCATCCACGTCTAAAAGCCATTCCAGGTAAGTGTGTGTCTAACCTGCTCTTAAAAAAAACTTTAGGTGGAGATTCTACAACCTCTCTGGGGCAGTGGGGGCCAGCTTATCCAGCAGGTGTGCCACAAATTAGCCCCCACCCTCCCTGAGTGCCACTCCAACTCCTTTCCATTACCTAATCTAGTACTCAGCTTTGTGCTCCCCCCCTGTGATCACTGACCAAGCTGCCACTCTGCTTTCTGCTTCCTGTCCTGAGCTCCCTGCCTGCTTTGATGCTCTGCTTCCACTCCCTGACCTATTTGCCTCTATAGGCATAGGGAGTGCACGGGGGTGCACATGCACCCCCTGAGAGTGCTGGTGCCCTCCCTGAGAGCGAGCGCTCTCAGCTCTGGTGACGGGCAGGGGCGGCAGCGGGGGCAGGTGGAGCGCTGGTGCTCCCTCCTCCCCCCCCCCACCAGAGAAATGCTGCTGGCATCTGGCTGCGGAGGACCCCCGTCACTGCCAATACTGCCGTTGCCTGCAGACAGTCCCCACTCAGCCTGCCCTTGCTGCTAACACCTGCATTGCCACCTGCATTGCTGCCTGAGAGTGGTCACTGTGCTCTACCAACCTCAGGAGGCACACATCACCTATGACTACAGGCACAGACAGAAGCGACAATTTTTGCCCAAGCTGGCCCCTAACTGCACTCTGCAGCCATGACCAAACAAAAGTGCATTACATGAGGGTTCAGATGAAGGCACCCCAAAGTGAAGTGCCCTCAATAAGTTCTGTTTGCACTTACCAGGAGCAAGGCTCAGCTGACGCAGCCTGGCACTGTTCCTGGCACTGTTTTCAGAATGGGGTGTGGGAGGAGGGAGCAGAGGGAGTTTGTTCTGGGGGTTGCCCAGCCAATGCTGGACAGTGGGATAGATAGAGGTGGGAGGCTCCAATCCACCCAACTCCCCACTCCAGCATGGCTGGAGAAACCCTAGAACAGACCTCCCTCCACTGCCCTCCCTCCTCGCCATCCTGACAGAGCACAGGAGCTAGGAGAGGGACTAGAGTACAGAAGCTGCAGACACCCAGCCTCTCTTCCCAAATCAGCTCCAAAGTGGAACTCAATGACCCACCCTCCTGATCCAACAACAAACATCTGCTGGTTTGGGAGGGTTGGTCTAACTTGTTGCACTTCTGTGAAGTGTCATGAGTTACATCAGGGTGCTGCACTTTTGTCAGTGTCTCCTCCCCAATCTGCTACATGCTACACAACAGAAGCTGCCTGTGCCACTTGTGGCACCCATGGCACAGGTTGGCCACCCCTGCTCTAGGTAAACTTTTCCAATGCTTAACCACCATCTTAGAAAGTTCTCTTAAATACCCAATCTAAATTTCCCTTGCTGCAATTTAAATCCATTACTTCTTCTGCCATCACCTGCAGCCAGAGTGTAGTCTATTTCCATCTTCTTTATAATCACCCTTTAGCTATTTGAAGACTCTTACCAAATCCCCCTTGGGCTTCTCCTCTAAAGACTAAATAATCCCATTTCTTCAAACCTTTTTTTTGTAAATGCTCCTTAGGCCTCTAACCATTTGTTGCTCTCACCCAGACTCTTTCTAGTTTGTCCAAGTCTATCTTGAACTACAGTACCCCAAACTGGATGAAGGATAGTAAAAAGAACATCATTACTGGATGCATTTAAGAAGGAACTGATAATTACAGGATTTTGGTACTATTATTCCTCATAAAAAGATAAACTCCTTCTAACAACTGATGGAGTGATATGCAATATTTATTCTGATACTGAAAGATTCTTGACAATCACAGAATGAGACCAAAATTTAACCTTTGGTGAATTTCATTTTTTACCAGAATCATTAAGCAATTATGTAAAACATTTAAAAATGGTATTAAAACTAAAAATTAATCAAGTTCAAGTAGATGCTAAATCATTTTCGTACTATCCAGATTTTTACTACATAATCCATTACTAAATTGTTACTACTAACATATTGCCAGATACATTATAAAATGTCTCACAGTAAGAAAAACATCAGGAACTAAAATGTGATAGCTTTAATGAAATAGTATATTTCCTCTACTTACGTAGAAGTCCCGGTTTGTCTTTTCTTCTGAAGACTCAGACATGCAATTGTCCAAAACCAACTTCAAAGGTAAAAAAAATATGAACTATTGATAATTAGGATACGATTTAAGAAAAGCAAAATGAATAAACTCTCAGAAGACAAAAAAAAGAGTTTCTTTGGGTACAGATACATCTACACTTTAGCCATTTTAAAAAAGGAGGAGTGCTGCTGCTCAGACATACACATCAGCTTTCATACTGTAAAAGTTATATTTCCATGATTCTGTAGCAAAAAAGTTAGCTAAATTACTCCAACCCTGACTCTGAATGAAGCAGAGTTAAAGTTGGAGTGATCTGCTGTGCTTGTATTGCTATAGAATCATGCAGATATATCAGTTACATAACAGCTTATACTCGTATACTTTAATATAAATGTTGTATCTGTTTATACTCTATAGCAGCCATCCAATGGGAAACAATTATTCTAATCACCCTTTACAGCATACAGTGATGCATAGAGAACTCTTGTATTTGTACATACAAGTTAATTAATAAGAGGTTTATATGATTTCAATAGTCATGTGACAATTTGCATGTGCAAATGCAAATATTGTATAAATATATGCAAGCATACGAAAACACATGCATATTCACTCACAAGATTTAGAGGCACATTTATGTAGATTTGTCAAAATTCACCCATGTGTGAATAGCCCTATAAAAGATTTTAGACCCGAGGCTCCTCTTACATACTTAACTTTTCTGCTTGCTTATCCCCATTGATTTCAAATTGCATAAGTAAAAGGAAATAAAGAGAAGTTGCTAATATTGCATACATTGAGCTAAGCTACCTGAAATATAATAATACTTTTTCATACAATATTTTGTGCACTGATATAATTTTTATTTAACAGTAATTAATTGCATTGTTTAAGGCAGTGCTGGAAAAACTGTAATGATGCTGCCACATAACTGAATTTAGGAAATGAGGTAAATTCTTAATGTATGGAGTAAAAACTCTTACCTTAAATGATTCAGGAAGGTACTCAACCATCTCCAACAAAGGACACTTATTGGCACTACAAGAGTGCGAAAATGTTGTCACAGCTTCTTCCCATCTGCAAGAATAATTTGAAATAATGGAAAATGAATTCTATGCTCATCTGAAATGGATAAACAAATCAGATGCCAACTTGCCAATGGAAGAAAAAATGATTATTTTTAAATGGTAGGAACTGTTGCTTCAGAAATTATTCTACAATTTACAATTCATAGTAGATTCATGTCACAAAATGGATTTAAAAAGTGCTATAAGAATAGTTGAGTATCATCCCCAGTTGCTTTCCTAAGAATGAGGTAAGCCTCTTGTTTATTAAAGCACATGCCTATGCTTTAAGAAGAAAGAATGATTTAGGCCTGTTGTCTATTCTTGGCACATGCAAAAAATCTTCATTAGCATTTTTTTCATTAGATTTTTGCAAGACGTGAGTTCTTCTTAAGAGCAATATAACCCTGAACTCATTATGAACCCAGAACTGATGGTGGAAACATGTATCTTTGGCTACAAGATTATACAGGTAAAATTAATTGTGGTCATTACTTTTCTTTTTAGCATAAGAGGTGATGAGTAGGAAATGGTCCTACTCTATTTGTAAAATTAACCTAACACATTTGGCACAATGATGTCATATATGAATATATCCCAACCAAACTACAACCTAACTCCCATGTACTGCAATTTTTGCAACAGTTTAAAATAGCAATATAAAATTAAATAACTTAAATTGTGTGATTTGTGCTTTAACTTTGGTTAAGACTCTTATTATATATGTAAAATATTTTTTCTTATACTTTTCATCTTAGCTTCCTCAGGAGAGGCCAATTCACTTATCTTGGTTTCTTGTAGGCCCTGAATAATCATCCTGGCGCTGGAAGGGATTTGTTCCCTATGGCTGAAGTTTATTATTAAGATTTTACCACTACTTTTTGATTCACATTTGGTTAGAATAGCATACATCTTTAGAATATGAAAAATAGGTCAATCTTATTAAAATACTATGTATTTTAACTAAAACCGGACAAAAAGACAACAATATAAAATAAGCACTTACCTTTTATTCAGAATGATCACAGATACAACATCTTTTTGCCTACTGTGTATTGCTTCATGAAAAAAAGAAGCTACTGCTTTGTTCAAAAGTATCTTGGCACCATGGTCAAGAAGTAGTTTCACTGCTTTTGGATGTCCTTCTCTTGCAGCAAGGTGCAGAGCTGTGTTCTTTTCAGAAAGACAACATATCTAAACATTATTAGAAACCCCCTTTGTTACAAGCGTTAAGCGTATAAGTTACAGTTTTCTCTACCCCTACCAAAGGGTCAGAATTTTCTCTCTGTAGCAAGAGTGTGAGACTCCTGAATAAATTCATTGGTGTTGCATAAAAAAACAGTATATCATTCCATGGCCTTAATTCCATATGCCTGCAACCAAGATACCACTAAAATCTGAAAGTATAAAGCATATAAAAGGGAGAAAAATCTCACACTTTTATAGTTAATAGTAGAAAGATGTTACAAAAAGTTATAAATGCCCTGTATCTCAAGATCCATATAACTCATATTTGAGGGCAACAAGCTAAGTATCCCACATTAGATCCAGAAAGTGTGCTCATTTATGTCTGTCTTCAGAAAATTATTTATGGGAAGATTTCTAATAAGACAATTTTACTGTCAGTGCCTTGCATAAAACTAAAGGATATGGTTAGAATTCCAAGAGGGTTACAAAAACAGGTCCTACTGAAAGTCAGAGGGATTGATGCTCACGAATCCTTTTGTCATTATTCAAATTACTTATAAGTGTCAACTCACCCAATATTCTATTAAGAATGTGCAAATAAAGGACTGCACACTAGCTTCTGAATATTTCCAAGTAGAATTTATTTAATCCAAAATGCTTTAAACACCGACTGTGTAAGACACATTTTGTTGGTAATGGTACAGTAGTTTGAGCTGACTGTTTTCTGCTTTTTAACAGAGAATTTTACAAAAGTGATCTTTGGAACTGGATTCTTTCTTGATCCAACAGATTCTGGTTTTGTCAAACTTTAAAACAACCTGCAAGCTGTATCTACTGGGCTTTGTAAAAAGAAAACATTCAGGGATCTGAAGTGGCTTGCTGATGAGTCATTATTACCTAGGGATTTCTTTTACTCACTGTGAACTCTCTATATTGTGAGTTTCTTCTGCTATTATATTCTGTTTTATTGTTATGTGGGCCACTAATGTGGTTGATAGAGTCCAAACAAAGTAAATCCAATATAGTTAATACATTTATGCTTGGTTTTTTTTTTTAAAGCTCCTAGAGGTTGGATATTCACTTCATTAATTATAAATACATTTAAACAACAGGTATTATCAATAAGGAACATATTAAGACTAACTCCTATGAAATATCTTAAATTCTGTCTATTATAATCTGTAGCAGTGAAACCAGTCTATTAACAGGGTACCATACTCACTTGGATTAAAAAGTCCAAGACTGGTAAGTACAAAGTAGGTTTGGGTATTTGAATGGTCAAATAAAGTTCAGTCAATTGACTGGTCAAATATTGGTCAAAAATTGTAAAAAAAACTGCTTATAGGCCCAAAGAATACACAGAAAAAGCACACATTTTCCATTAAGAAATGTACCAAAAAACATTTTAAAAAAATCATATTTCTGTCAAGAAAACTACAAAAAATAGGTTATGTAAAATTACTATAATCTTTGACTGGTCAAAAACTATGCAGTCAATTGACCGATCATAGGTAGTCTGCCCCATAAAAAGAGGCAGTGAAGACTGACTCCTTGGGACGCCCTCTCCATCTGGACCAGCACCATGCCACACCACCTATCCACCCAGAGGCCCTGCCGGTAACCCCCCTCTGGACAATATCTTGCTGGAGAAGACCCCGATTGGCCATCAAGGATCAACTCACAGCCCAGGATAGGTAGCTATCACCCCCACCCTCTCTTCAACCAAGGACTTGGACTCTGTTTCTCTTCCCTACCTGGGTTCGAACCCTTCCACTGAGTCTCTTTCTCCTGATACTATTGTGTGAATAGTACACAGCTTGTGTGGGAACCAAGCTGTAGAGTACAGTGTTCATTTAATAAAACTGTTATTTGGACCCCAGAGTTGATTTTGCTTTACCACGGCTTCGGCCCTGCTCCAATCTCTGCTCCTCGCCCCTCTAAGTTCCTTCTCATTTCTCCCTCTCCTGCTTCTGGCTCAGCGTCACCTCCAACACCTGTCCCATACTCCTGTGGCTCCAGCCGTCCTGTGCTCCTCTCTGCCGGCAAACCTCTGTTTCTTTCCTATTGACTTAGCCCCACTGCCTTTTTCTTGATCTCTGCCACTGCAATTGCCTCATCCCCAGTGCCTTTTCCCCTGATCTCTCCCACTTGCTCTTTGGTTACCAAGCACCCCAAGCATAGGTACCACAGGCACACACACACACACACACACACACACACACACACACACACAGTCACCTGAGTCAGTGTTCAACCCGTATGTATATGTGTACGTATGTGTGTACTGTATATGATTTCATGTCATTATCATTAGGGTGTGTATGTGCTTGAATTGATGATAGGTGTGCATGTGTCTAGGCTGGTAATTTTGGATGCATACGCCTGAGTTGGTGGCGTGGGTGTATGTGCCTAGTGTGTGTGTATGTACCTAATTGATTTTTGTGTGTGTATACGTGCAATTGTGTCACACCCTCCCATCTAACAATGCAATTTTGAGATCCTGAGAGTTGACCTGGCCCCACAGGACAACACAAGGATAACCATGGGCATGGAGAGGCTTCCATATAAGCAGAGCCTAAGCAAGGTAGGATATTTCAGTTTATATAAAAGATGCCGGGGGGGAGGGGGGGATGTATATAGAGATGTATAACTCATCTGCTGAATGGACAAAGTAAATAAGGATTTACCTGTCTCTCACAATAGGGAACATGCAATGAAATTACTAGGAAGTAGGTTTAAAGGAAACAAAAAAAAAAAAGTGTTTTCATACAGCATGTTACTAAAGTGTGAAACTCTGCCACAAGAGGTTATGGAGTCTGATAAACGAACCAAGTTTAAAAGAGGTTTACACAGATTCATGCAGGTCTATTGGTGGGTATTAAATGTTAGTGGCAGTCTAGATTAGCACTTCCTATTGCTGAAAGCCATATGGGAAACAGGGCAGGAGAAAAATCAATCTGGATAGGACGTAATACCCCTAAATACTCCTCCCCTTAGCATCTACTCTCTGCCACTGTGAGATACAGGACACTGGGCTAGATAGACCTGTGATCCGACTCAGTATGGCATTTATGTTCTTAAACAACACACTGAAACAAATAATGTTGTATTGCTACATACCCCTTCTTCATCCACTTTGTCTGTACATTTCGCATTAGTATCTAAAATTATCTGCATTGTGCGTGTGAATCCTCCAAAGGCAGCATGGTGCAGGGCTGTCCAGCCTTTATAATCACTTTTGAAACAGCAAGTGTAAAATTATAATAAGAATATGAATGACCTATTGTAAAATGTATAGTAATTTAACTGCATCCTTGACCTCATGGGCCAAATGAGTCTTTCATTTGAACTAGCTTATCCAGTATTATTACTCCATTGATTTCAATATTCTGTTTTGTTTTAATTTGTCTTCTACTAGCGCAACACTTAATGAAAGGGTTTAATTGTGAAAAATATAACTGGGGCCCATAAAAACATGAGTGTGTTTTTCTGGGGTGCTATTGGCTTCATAAAATTTCCCTTCAAAACAAGTTACAAGATCCAAGAACTAATACCTAAAAGTTGAGGCAGTATCAGACATTGTAGGGCTGTTGAACTCTGTGCTTAAGAGAACTGCCATGTAAAGCATCATAAATACACAATTTTAGTCTACTAGCATTATTTGATTATGACAGCTTTTATAGACTTGGTCACAGTTTTTCTGGAGATCCAGTACTTCTGAGGTCCATGGCCCTGGAACAGATCCAGTAACCAGAATATCCCAGGACCAGAAAACTGGGAAGAACCTAGGGACCAGTCCCCATGCTGGGGTCATCCCTTGGCAGGTGGGGCCTTGACTTGGGAGTTTAGAAGTATGAGAAGTCTTTCTCTAAGGCAATCTACCTGATGGGACTGTGGCAAACCCTGAAAACACCCAGGCCCCCAGTGCAGTAGTTTGATTTCAAGATAATCTAAATCAGGGGTGGTCAGCCTGCAGCATAGGTACCATGAGTTTCACTGGAACCTCTGATTGTGGCATGCAGCAGACTGGAGCAGGGACAGGCAGTATAATGGCAGACAGGGCAGGGAGAAGAAAGGAGAGCTGCAAGCAGGGAGCACAGGGCAGGGAACAGAAAGCAGAACAGTTGATTATATAGGGCAGGGTATGGCACTGAGGGAGGGTGTGTACCTAATTTGTGGCGTACCAGCCAAAATGGTTGGCTTCCACTGGCCTTTATCACCTGGGACCCTGAAAGTACTGGGAACCTAGCTTTGGTTCTAGACCCTAAATAAATGACCCAGGGCTGGAACCACATAAATTCTAAGGTTTGTGGCTCTGTAGGGACAGTCATAGAATCATAGAAGTAGGGTAGGAAGGGACTTTGTAGATCTTCAAGTCCAACCCCTTCCCTGGGCAGGAGGAAAACTGGGCTCAAATGACCCCAGCCAGGTAGGCATCAAGCCGCTTCTTAAAGACCCCCAGGGTAGGAGCCAGCACCACTTCCCTT